GTACTATGTAGGGTATTTTGGTATTTTGTTGTTTTGCTGTGGTGTTGCTTTGTGTTAGATCCTGCTATTTGACCCTGTTTTGATTAGGTCTCTCTTGTAAAAGAGGTATTCATCTCAATGTGACTTCCTAGTTAAATAAAGGTTTTATATATTGATTTTCCTGAAACTGCACCTGACCTATAAAGGACAATTCATCTTAACGTCTTAACAGAACCCAAGAGGGATGGTTTTTTTGTAAACAGTCCTGAAAGCAGCACAATTCTAGCCTGAATAGACTCTGAAGATATGTGGCAAGAGTCACAAAGATGGTTACTGGTTTAAGGAAGAACTGATGTTACATTCATTCAGTCAGCTGCCGATTTTTAGTGCCATTTGTGCAGACGGCAGACAAAACCTGGAAACCTAAAGATATTTACATATTGCCGTTTGTTTGGAGAGCTCCAACAAGCAATATCCAGGACACTTTGTTTACATGTGTTAACGTTATGTAGAATATTTCTATTTGATGTAATTCTCCAGCTGTGAAAAAAAATTTAATTATTGCTTCATTGACTATAGTGACGATAAAAAAACTCAAATCTGCCAGAGCACCAACCACCTTTTGTTAAAATGAGCGACACACTTGGCCACAGTTCCCAGCCCTCATTTATCTGTGAGAGAGGCCATCAGGCTTAATTGAAGAGAAAGGAGTTGTGTATTGCAGTCAAACCTCGTTTTAAAGCTGTAATGCGTCCAAAATTTGATTTGCTTGGCGTCGCCGCTGGCGCATCACAAAGCGGAGGTTAATGGTTTTTAAATGTCAGTCTGAGAGTGTGAGAGAGAGAGAAAGAAGAGGAAGAGACGTTTATTTCAGATGGCTGAAAGTTCGTCAGTCTCCAGATTGGAGTTTAAACCTTGACCCAAGACTCAACTTTCCTTCCAACTAAAAACGTGACAGGGATGGAAGACTGTATTTACCTCCTCAGATGTTGCTGACCAATATCAGTTTGAGTAATTTAACGGGCTGTAACAGACAGTTTGAACCATTTGGAAAACAATTTGAGCCTCTTAAAACTGTAAACTCCTTCCTTTAGGTTGCCACAGCTTTTCATTTCCAAACTGTTAACTGCTGCTGTTCTCAGACGACTCGTCAGATTGATTTTTCTTTCTTCTGTAGTGTGCTCCTTTTTATTTCTGCACATTTGTCTTTTATCAGGGTTTCATTAGTTTTGTAATTAGATACAAGTGGGAACAAAGACATGAGAATGTATGCAGAGCTACAAAGGGTGATGCAAGAAAATAAGTGATTCTGTAATACTGTGATATACATGAAAATCCCTCAAAACATGCACTTTAAAGGTTCAGTGTGTAATATTTAGGAGGATCTACTGACAGAAATACATTATATGATACAAAACTGTTTTCAGTGGTGTATAAAGACCTTACATAATAAACCGTTATGTTTTTATTACCTTAAAATGAGCCATTTCTATCTACATGGTCCTCTGACATGGAAGTCACCATGTTGCAGCATCATGTTTCTACAGTAGCCCAAACTGACAAACTAATCTACAGAGGGTGTTTTGTCACTACGTTGAATACGTACGTGGTAATAATGGCAGTAATCGTGTGGTTTATTAGAAATAAGAAGAGAAGTGAAATTTGGATAAATAGAGGACCACACATTATTTACTGCTGAATTAAATGTGTACATTTATTATAAAGTACTTATTTCGTCCAAGGAGCAAGTGAATGCACAGTGAGCCATTTGTTGCAATTCGCAACCCTCACCACTAGATGCCACTAAGGGTACTTTCACACCTGCAGTTCGGTTCATTTGGTCTGGACCAAGTGGAAAAAAATGATACACTGTTGCATTTTAGTTCTGGTCCGGTTCATGTTAACACTGCAGTTTTACAAATGAACCAGACCATGACGTTACACAGACGTACAGGTAACATGTTGATTTATAAGCTTTGGCGATTGTCATCCTGCATCATCAGGAACCACGTGGGGAAATCAAACTCCGGTGACTGACAGAAGTTTGTGCAGCTTCTGATCTGTATCGCAAAGAGCTCATGAAGTAATAATTTACTAAAAGCATGATAAGTTAGACCGCAGATCGACCGCATAGCCTATTATGAATAATAACGTAAAAACAGGACATGTAGGCCTACAGTAATAATCCGGGGCTTATTAGCTTATAGTATACCATGGTATCGCTGTCACACATGTTTTATTGACATAATGAACTAACAGTGAACTGAATAGTACCACTAGCCCTCCTTTTTAAACAGATTTTAATCACGAGAAATACCCACGCTGACAAGTTTGGTATACGTTATGATTTTCATAAACATAGCCTATACATGACTTATACAGATCAATTATAATATCGCTGAACACATTTCGCGGTCAGCAGATGGATTTATTAGTGGTTTGGTTTTGGAAATAATGATCAGATCAAATCTCTATCATAAAATCCGGTGGTTGGTTCGTTTGCTTTCACACCACAAGCGAACCGTATCAGTTTGTTTGAAATGTCTGGTCCACTTTCGGTGCGCACCCGAGTGTGATTGCTGCATTAATTTATCTCCTCTAAAACCAAATTGAATTCTTCAATTCATGCAGCATCATATGTTCCAGAAGGATGTAAATACTGGGATAAAACCTGTATGTGACTGATTAATAATAATAATAATAATTAATATAATAAAAGCAACTTTCATGCAGGAAATGCAGAACAAAGTGTTTTACAATAAAGAAATGAAATGCACCAAGGGGAAAATACAAAAGGCAAGGCAAGTTTATTTGTATAGCACATTTCAACAACAAGGTAATTCAAAGTTTACATAAAACATAAAAGCAACAAGGAAATATAAAAGTTTTAAAAGTTAAATAGAAAATAAAAACAGGCAGGTCTCCCACCTTTGCTTATTTTACTCCTTTGATTCCCCATCTCCCACTCTATCCCCCCTTTAGTTACTTAAGGACTCTAACCCTTCCTTAGATACAGTCTTCACTGTAAATCCAGATTGCCCACGCTACAAGCTCTGGTAAGAGCGGTTGACAGCGGGCCCTGTCAACAAGTTAAAAGCGGACAAAACAGGGACTCTAATCCTTGTAATTCTACTCGGCCCTGTTAACTGAGGTTCAGCCGTGTGAGATGGTAGAATCAAAAGGGCACTCTAAGCTTTTTAAATAGTGTTAATATCTAAAAACAAAGAAAACAGGACAGTGCAGTGTAAGTTGTCAATCTACTAGTTAAAGGCAGTGGTAAAAAGAAAACTCTTAAATATTTAATTAAAAGCAATGGTAAAAATTGTAATGATAGTAAAAATAAGATAAAGGTGAGAATAGAAAACACAGAATGCATCTTCACATGAAAATAGACAGAATTGGCCTAATAACAGGGGCAGAATTTCATAATAAAAGTATTGTAACATGACATGTTTTTATATAGATATCTTTTGTCAATATGGAACACCCCCAGTACGAAGGCTGCATTTTCTTTCAGCTGTTTCTGGGAACCTCCAATAAACCAGCAGCAGATAATCGCAGTGTTCTTGAAGGGAAGTAGTGAACAAGTGAGTTAGCAATGTAGCTTTGTCCTAGCTCATTAAGGGCTTTGTATGTAAGGAGGACAATCAATTCTGATTGTTACAGGAAGCCAGTGCATAGCAGCTAAAATTGGACTGATGTGCTCGCTCCTCTTGGTTCTGGTTAATGGTCGAGCTGCAGAGGTTTTAATTAGTTGAAGTCTCTGTGGGGTTTTTTTTGGGAGACCAGTAAAAAGTGCATTACAGTAGTTGAGTCTCCTTGAAATAAAGGCATGAATCAGTTGGAGGAGGAGAAATAATGATCTAGAATATCTTAGATCTGAATCTAAGATATCACCATGACTTGTAACCTCAATCTAAGGAGATCATTTCCCAGATTAATAAACAGTATTTCCATTTTTGTTTTAGAGCTGACTAGTAGGACAGTTTTGTCCTTGTTTACATTTAAGAAATTATTTCTCATCCATTTATTTATTGCCAAAAAACATGCAGTTAACTAAATGTAGTTAATAGCAGCAGCATCATTTGGTTCAACAGAGATGTACAGTCTCATCAGTATAACTATGGAAACATACACTGTGCTCCGTGATGTCACCCAGTCGCAGCACGTGGTGGGAATAGTAATGGACCAAGACTTGTGCCTTGTGCAGCCCCAAAACAGATGTCATGTTTCAGACACATGATCTCCAAGACTAATGTGAAACCTTCTCCCTTTGATGTTTGAACCAGTTTAACACACAGTCAGACAGACCAACCAACCTTTCAAGGCAATTGATTAAGATATCATGGATACTAGGTCTAAGAGGAACTGAGACCTTAATTTCATACCACAGTCTGTACTGTGGCATGTTCTAAAGCCTGACTGAAATTCTACCATACTATTTTTAAGTGTCTTGCTAATGAATGGAAGGTTGGATATTGTCCTATAGCTGCTCAGTGAATTACCATCTAGCTTGGGTTTCTTTAGTAAGGGTTTTACAGCAGCTGGGAAGATGCCAGAGATGTATTTACAATCTCCTGGACATTACTTGAAACACTACTGAATACCCGCCTAAAAAAAGCTGTATGTACAGGTTCAATACATGAGGTGGAGGAGTTGCACTGTGTGGCAGTCTCGCAAAGTTCATTTAATAAAGGTGAATGTTCCCATGGTTATATCTTTCTTACTGTCATTGCTGTGGTCATCTGTGTTTTACATACAATACTTGCTATAATTGATATATGTTGTTGTAGAAGAACAATGCAAGTTCTTCACAATTTGATGCAGAGAACTGAGAAATGTCCCAAAGAAGTGCACCACAAAGGATTATCTTGTCATTAAAGACTATTGTAATCTAAAACAAACTGCCCATATTTCCTATTTAAGACCTGAACTCTGTGTTGCTGTCAGCTATCGAAGCCTACTATGATCCCAGTAGATCCAGTATGAACTGCTCTGTCTCTGTCCTGTGTGATTGACAGGTGTGCTGGTGGTGAATGTGACGTGGAGGAAGAGAACCTACGTGGGAACTCTGTTAGACTGCACCAAACATGACTGGGCTCCTCCAAGGTAATACTACACTTTGTCTTCCTTCTTCTTTTCTTTCTCTGACTCTGTGATTCTATACAGAGACCTTTTAAAGGCGCACCACACAAGCCATACTATAATATATTTATAGTATTCCCAAAAATCTCCAAATTAATGGAGTTTAGATGAGTTATGAAATACAGTGAGCTGGGAAGTTTGGTTGGAGCTGTGTGGAGCGTCAATTAGCATAGCATTTGTTTAGGCAGTGGGAGAAGCTCATGGCATCATGTCACCAGCAATTTGGATAGAGGCACAGGCTAAATTAAGTTGCTGTCAACCTTGCGCATGTGTATATATAACCTGTGGGGATAAACACTTTTTAAACCTTATTTTGGGGCCAAGTCATCAAACTTTTCCTGCAGTTTTTAACAGATTTTACTGGTGATTCAAAAATGCAGTTTTTATGTCCTGGTTAAAGACTATATGTATGTTTTTCAATGAAATTAATAAAATGGGCTCAAAACTCACTTAGAAATGAAGCACACACCTGTTTTCTCCGTTGCTTGCATCAGCCACTATTCTGCTTTTAATGTGAGGACACCGGGTCGGATTCAGCCCTGTGCGTGCTCCCGAGCCTCTCTCTGACTACAGCGACAACACTGCAGCTAACGACATGCAGTCCACTAACACCACAAAACAACTGGCTCACAGCAAAACACAGGCTCCACGTAAGGATACAAAACAACAATAAAAGTTTATGTGCTGAAGCCCATCAGACCAAACAGGTTCAGATGATGTCGAGTAAGAACAAAGTGAGCATTAGTAAAGCTGGAGAAACATAGAGGTCACGTTAGCTCGCCGGCTAACGCCAAGCAGTTGCTAATGTTATCCGAAGCAAAGTTATATCGCTTTCCGCATTACTTCACCAGCTAACGTGACCCATGTTACTATCCTGTGTGCCACTGTTGATTTAGCCTGCAAGAAAGGATGTAACTGTAAAAAGCAAATGTGGAGCGATTTGTTTACTAATGTTAGCCCATCCTGATGCAGCCAGCTAACGCTACAGTAGCAGGATTTCTGTATGAAAGTGGTAGTGATTCGGATTATGCTCACTCATGAGTTCAAGTGAGCACGCGTACGAGCACACGCCTAGTAGCAATCTTAAAACCGCATCGCTAGGGGCCGCTGAAAACTCCATAATGCCCCTTTAAAAGTGCAGTTATGGCTCTCACCATTCATTTAGGTAGGGGCCTGATCTTGTTAGTCCGAAATAACTGCCCGGCGTTACCAAGATGTATTACTGTAATATTGTTACTTTTTCCAGTAACTAGTAGTGTAAAGGAGTAATGTAACTAGTAACTTTAATCACCCAGTCATAAGTAAAGTATTATAATTCATTTTTTAAGTAGGAATAAGTAACTAGTAACAATTTCTGAATAACTTGCCAATAACACCGAGTGGCGGGACTTGCCTATGTAAGGACTTTGCCCAGCAGTTTGTTGTGGTTAGCTGTTTTCCTTTGTTACGTAAAAATTTTAACTGCTAACCATGCTAGTAACAAATGTTTCAGAGCCACTTTTCAAGCATACATCCAATAGTGTTTTTTTGGAAACAAGTTTTGCTATAGTATTTTTATTTCAGGTTAGGTCATGGCCATTGTAAAATATTTACGTGGAAAGCACTGATGCCTGTTTGACAGCTTATTACACTTACACTTATGATTACGTTTGTTGATGTGCTTGTTCTCAGTTTGAGCACTGACAATGAATTTCAGTTGTATTAGCTGGATGCCATTTTTTGGTGAGCGCCTGGCACTGGTGAAAAAATTAAAATTAAAATTTGAAATCCATTCTTGTTCTAATTGTAAACACATTTTAAGGACAGGCTGCTTGGTGTATTTCCCTGTTTGATCTATTGTGTTTAACCATTTGATTGTTATTCTCATTGGCTGTCATTTGCTACCGATTGTTCATTTGATTAACTGAAAAGAGCCCTTGATTTTTTTTTTTTTTTTTAAAGTGCTTTAATGTTGCTAAAATGATAAAAAGGCTAAATTGGCTCTGGGGCTGTACGGTGTTTTTTCCATGATGAGCTTTAACAAAAACACTCTCCATTCTGCATCCCAACTGTTTTACAAATGGAGAGTGGTTTTTGTAATTGCTGAGTGGAAAATGTGACAGTCCCTCCTCGCAGGGCTGAAACCTCTCAATTATTGCTCCTGTATGTAAATGATTGTTGTCATGGCAATAACAGCTTAATCTCAGAAACCAGGGACTAAATTGCTTTTTTCATTTGGACTCTTGCGGGCTCCTGTCAGCAGTGACTGAATGCTGTTTTATTATATAATTCTATGGAATAAAATGCTTCCTCATTATCAGTCTTTGAATGAAACTGTTACCGAAAGATGATGTGATTCAATTAAAAGCACAAAATATAATAAACACATAGAAAACACATTTTTGGTTCTAAAAAATATAACCAAGGGTCTGAGGGGCCTCAATTTATCAGCTTTACTTGACAAAGTTAAATGTTAGGAAATCATCTCTGTTAGATCACTCAATTGTTCAAAATCGCTTTTTAAATCGAGGCATGAGAACATTAAATAACCTTGAAATACCAAAGAAAATGCATAAAATTTCAGTTGGACGTTCCAGCAGCTTCAGTGGCATTCAGGGACACATTGATGTAAGAAAGCAATTACAAACATCATAGGAAATGTGAGATATCATCTCTTAAAATCACAGAAGGGGACAAGAAAGTCTAGTCTCAACGTGCTTTGCAGTCGGTTCCATTAATAAGGTGATTAACACCCAAAACAGTCTTTCCAAGGTCAGAATTTATTCATTGAGTATTTAACACCAACCGGTCCTGTGATGTAGTGTAATACTTAATGCTTTAAAAGGCCAGCACATATGCAAAGTTCAGAGTCCAGCTTCAAAAATAGTCTTACTGGAGCAGGTAATATAAGGCAATGCATTTTCATCATTGCAGCAGGCAGATTTTTTGATATAAGTAACAATATGTGAGTGGGGAAAAGCATCTCCAGTGTTAAGATGCGAGGCGATCTAGTAAACAGCATCAAAAGACTTCAAAGCAGAAGGTATGGCATGTGAATACAAAATGTCTCAATATCAAATACAGAGATAACTGTGGATTGTAAAGGTTTTTTATGTTATCAAAAGAAGCAGCCTCTGTACAGGAAAAAAAAATCAATTTTTATCCTTGACATCTGGGTAAAGTGGTCCACATGAGCCTTGAATGATAATCTGTTATCTTCCAAGGTTTTTGTCTGGTGGTACAAGAGTGCAATTTGGGTGACGATGTGAACAAGTTATTCTTGGGTTAAAACCTTTCAAGAACAAATGCATCAACAAGAAAAACAGGCTTAGTTTCAGCTTGATGGCTTGAAGTGTCTTTCATTTTATCAGTCAGGATTTAAAAAGCTTTCATGAGCTCCATACAAAATGGCACAATACAATGTGATGTAAAATCAAACAATGTGAAACAAAACAATACGAAATGATACGTGATACAATGTCCTACGATAAGATGGGATATGATAAGATATACAGTACAACGTAAGACGATGTCATATAAGAGAAGCTGTGATACGATCAAATTTGATGTGAGATAAATTGACATGAGGTGATACAATACAATGTGAAACAATATGTGACATGAAATGTGTATTGATAATGCAGTGTTGGGCAAGTTACTTCCAAAATGTAATACATTATAGATTACTAGTTACTGTCATTTGAGAGTAACTAGTTATATTACAGTGTTACTGTCTCTGAATTGTAATGCTTTACACTACTTTTGTGTTACTTCAAGTTACTTTCACTGTTATTTAATAGGCGCATTATTCTGATAGTGAGATGTGGTGCACAGGTGGGTTCTAGCGATGTGCAGAGATAAATCTGCGGATGGGGTGGGTCTTTGTCATAAAAATTAACCTTCTGATTAATAGCGGGGGAGGGAGGATGGGTGAAATAGGATGAATCGCCTCCCCATTAAAAAAGACGCTGTGCACATTTACGCATGAGGTACGGCAGCACAACGTCGTTGATTCTCCCGACACTCCAACAGGATCGGTCAAGATGAACTGTCAGCAGCTTCTCTAATCATGAAAATAATTTATTAAAGCACAAACACATAGCCTATAAAAATCTGTTTACACATAATCCATCAGGGGAGCTACCGTCTTGTTAAGAGGAGCCGAGTTCCCCCTTAGTTTACACCCTCCCCATAATCTCGACCATCGGATTCCGCTTTTTTAGTATTGTTATATTACTGCCTTATAGCAAAAGTAATACATTACTGTAATTGGTTACTTTTGTAACGCGTTACTCCCAACACTGTTATACAATTGGCTGCTTCTTTTTTGTCAATTTGTCGCCATCCAGTAGAACTAACATTGGCCAATATTGTGGTAATGGCTATTGTTTGTCTTATGAGGCAACTTACTACGGCTAGATGTAAACATGAAGAGCTTGAATAAAGTATAAGCTATCACAATGTGTCACAATAACACAACTATAATACCCAATTTAATACTGTAATCATCTAACACAGTGGTTGAAAGGAATCTGTGTGTGTCTGTATTTTGATTATGTCAGCAGGAACAGTTCATACAATCGACTTCAAATATGGTGGGTGTGTTGCTGCGGACACAAGGGAGTGCAGTGTTGCGTGTGGTGGAATTTGAAAAAGCAACACGTTCAGAACGAATAAATATACTAGAGAACAGCGCTGAGCGGAGCTCTGCAGCAGTGACGGCTGGGAATGCTCGCAGGGACACAGCCGAGCTGCTTGCGTGGGCAGGTCTTATGCTGCTCCAGTGTGGTAGTGGTGTTGAAACAGAGTTATCATCATCACGCAGGTTTCATACATGCTAGAAACGAATGAATTTTATGTAGTATGTGTTGTTTTGGTGTTATTAATTCTGTAGGTTAGGGGTTGGAAAATAAGCTTGGGTGTCCAGTTACTTCAGTCAGTTGTGCAGAGGGTTGTGTCTTCGGTCCCCCCTTGTGCAAACTTATTTTTGCGCGTCTGGCGATTGGTCCACATCTATCAACCTATGGACACTTTTTCATTTCATTTTCATTTTCCCAGCAAAGTAAAAGCTCTTAATTCAACTTGAAATAAAGCATTGCTGCAAAAAACTTTCTTGCGCTTTTGTAGGCACAATCACTTAAGAGGAACTCATTATTTGAGTAACTGTTGCTCTCATGATCTATTTCAGCACCAGCTGCTCAAAGTATTTATTTATTTATGTATTTAATTTGGCCTGCGGGCCGCTTCTTGCCGACCACTGCTGTAGGTGAAACCAATGTGAGACGAACAATTGGCCCCTGTGAACGGGCACTGTACTAGTTGTATTAATACAACAGAACACAGCGCAACACAAAAATCGATCTGATCTGTCTCATCTCTGAAGCATTTCCATGCTGTCACTAATTAATTATTGAGAGGAATTCTCTGTTAAATCCATTGTTTTTCTCTTCTTCTGTCCAGGTTTTGTGAGTCTCCTTCCAGTGACCCTGAGTTGCCAGGTGGGCGTGGCAGGGGGAAACGAATGCGAATGGCCATGGCCGAGCGGCCTTGCATTGAGCCTGCCCCTGCTGCAAAAGTCAGGGGTCTATCTCAGCACAGGAGTCGTGGAGGTGGTGTGGCTGGAACCACTGCACCCATACACAGCAAGGGACGGAGAGGAAGCCTGAACCTCATCAATAGCAACTGTCGAACACCTCCTTCCTTCTTTACTGTGGAGGAGGTGAAACCTCCCAACAGCACCTCCTCTCTCTCCTCCGGGAAACGAAAGAACAAACCGCCAGCTGACCTAGACCTCAGCCTGGTCTCTTCTGATGACATTAAAAATGGAAATGGGAAGAGGATCCGAGCCAAATCCCGTAGTGCCCCATCCACCCCGCTGGGCAAATCCGACCCCTCGTTCATGGACCCTGGAGGCGGTTGTACCTCCTCACCACCGCCCCCGCCCATCCTCATCGACTGTCCACACCCCAACTGCACTAAACGCTACAAGCACATCAATGGCCTGCGCTACCACCAGACACATGCACACTTGGAAGCTGAAGAGCAGAGGAAACCTGAGCTGGAGCCCATGAAGGATGGGGAGAGTGAAGAACGACTATCAGACTGTGAGGAGACCATTAGCAACATGACATATGACCTCTCAGAAACAAACAGCACTAATTCCAACCACTCTAAGAAACCTGCTCCTCTTTATAAGGTAACTACAGTGGGGTCTCCTAAGAACAGACGGCTACTCCTCAGTACTGACCATAGCCCCACAGCCAACTCCAAGACAAGAAGAACCTCCCTGCTGAAAGATGGGCTGATTGATGACCTGAGCAATCTGCCCATCATCTCCAACATGACTGTGGTTCTGGAGAACTGCATGGTACCAGACAGGAACTCCACAGTAGAGATGCCCAAGCTGGAAGCTGAAGGTTTGATCGACAAAAAGGGAGGTGCACTAGACAAAGGCAAGAAGGCTAACGGGAAGGTAGAGAAGCTGTCCAAGTCACGGACCAACCGGCCAATCGCTCCGGCCCCTGCTCCTCCAAAGTTGATTGCTATACCCAACACAGCGTATCCGCCTGGCACAGCAGATACTGTCACCTCACAGCAGCCCTCACCCATGGCAGCCATAGGCCTCACCAGTAAAAACCTTCCCCTCAAACCCATCAAACCAAAGCTGAGCATCGTTGTGGAACCAAGCCTTGTCAAAGCCACGCTGGTTACCTGCAACAAAGAGACCAGGAAGAAAGAGAAACGGAGGCTAAAGGACAAACATAACAAAGATGTGCCAACCAGAACGCCTAATGGGGACAGCAGCGTAATCAAAATAGAAGATGGTGGTTCTAAAATGGGTGTCAAGGAAATTTCTGGAAGCCTTCTGAAGGAGCACCTCAGTAAGCAGGATGTTATAAATGGGCTCACTGAAAGCCAGGAGAGCAGGATGGCCAGTATCCGAGCTGAGGCTGACAAGGTCTACACTTTCACCGACAATGCCCCGAGTCCCTCCATTGGTGGTTCATCGCGGCTTGACTCCAGTGGTAGTTGCCTGGCAACAGCAGACAGCAAGAACAACAGCCCCGCCTACTCTGACATCTCAGATGCCGGGGACGATGGGGGGTCTTCTGAATGTCGCTCGGATGGAAACAGATCCAAGTGTGGCTCCTCTGCCTCTTCAGATGTGAGCTCCAGTAGTAACCATTGTAACTCTGGTAAAACCCCGCCCACAGCATCAGCCCCATCATCAAAAGACCCCCAGTCCCCTTACTACCATAGCTACGAGCCCTACTATCTGCCAGGGTACATGCAGTCAGACAGGCAAAACAGCAGCAGCGCTGCTTTCCACAAAAGCTCTGCTCTTGATGTAAAAGTGAAAGACAGAAAGGAAGAAATGAAAGAAGACGATAAATGCACCTCACATGAGTTCTTAGACTCAAAGAAAGGCGACGGGCCACCTCAGTCTCAGCTCCAGCTGGCAATGAGTCAGACCCAGACCGCCTTGGCCCAGTCGCTGTACTACGGACAGTACTCCAGAGGACTGTACATGGACCAGAAACTGTTATTGGCCTCCAAATGCTGTGACCAGACACACAGTGGCAAGCAGAGGGGTGAGAGGGGACAGGGGGTAAGAGACAGTGAGGACGATAAACATATGGTTGGGGCTTCAGCCAGTGGACCCATGCTAGGTAAAGGCCCAGATGGTGCTAAAGGTTGCTGTCCCAAACCCATCCTATCCTACGTGGAGATGAGTGAGAGGGGAGAAAGGGGACAGAGTCTGTGCGTTAAGGCTCTGCACAGTGGCATGGTGGACCAGGGCTCGATGAAAGACTGTGATGACATCAAGTCACCCTCCTCTTCCTCTTCTTCATCACTCCACAACCCAAACAGTCAGACAGATCTGGACTCAAATGTTTCCTATTCCAGTGTAAGTTTCTCCCTCTGTCTATAACCTGCCGCCGCCGTTGATGGTGTTGTTGTGTAATTTAATGACTGTTGAGTGTCACAAAGAGATTAATCACACACTGTGTACAGCCAAACCAATAGGTGCTAACAACACAGACCATGTGGCTTCTGTGGTGCTGTAGCTATACTTATACTACTTTTAGTCATTTTGGTTGAAATCAAAATTGTGTGGTTTGATTTGATGGATGCAAATGTTTTTAATGTCTAGAGTAAGAACTAATGGGGGAATTGTGTAATTCCAATTTTAGGTGTAAATGTAAAACGAACACAAAGGAACAAAAGAAACATTTCTAATACATAAGTGTTGGTTTTTATGAGCTGCTTTTTCAGAAAGCTTGTACAGATTTTTTACCCTGTCATCTCACGATGCATTTAACTGCTATCTCTAGCCATGCTGGGTCATTTAAATTGGTTGTATGAATTGAATGAAAGCTACGTTTGGGAGGGTAGGTTGTTTTTGACCATGTGTGAGACATGTCTTGATTCGTGTTATTGAGAGGGACGCCACACTCCTCACATCACACCTGTGAGTGGCCTGCTGTTGAAACGTCGTCATCCTTCATCAACATCACACCCTGAGCCAGTGATAGATGGTCTGTCTATGGTTCTGTTCACTGAAGTACACAGTGTTTCCTCTATAGTCATTCAGCAGCGGTGGGCCACCGCAGCAGGAAATTCTCCACCCCTGCTAAAAAGACAAAACTAATAAATTAGCCTTTTTTTCCTTCCAAAAAAAGAGACAAAACGCTAAAGGGCTAACATTTAGACTTATAAGATAGGTATTAAGTTTTAGCTCTGCAACTGGCCATATAAACAAAAACTGGGACAGAGACGTGGACTGAAGTGAACCGACCCCAAAATGACTCCTACCCACCACTGTTAACAAAGAATTATAGGGGAAACACTGCAACTAGCACCAACACTTGTCCTCATCGATCTAGCCCTCAGACGGCCCAGCCTGGGCTCACTGCCTCGCTCACAGCAAATACTCAGAGCTGCATGGGGAGGAGGCCGAGGAGGGTGAAGGAGACAGGGGGAAAGAATGGGGAGTGACCGTGGAGCCTGCCAAGATGACCTCAGGAGGAGGTGGAGGAGACAGAGGAGGAGGTGTGTGCGGAGATGCTAAAAAAGCCAGGGTCCACGGATCCCTCGATCTTCCGCCTGACATCGACACCGAGGATTCAGACAGGCTGGAGGGGCTGGATGATCAGGGCCAGGAGCCAATGGGAGGGCTGTCTGAGGAGTCCCAGAGTGCCCGGGCAGCAGTGTCTCCTCCCATGACCCCCCAGCAGCCCTACATCCAGTACCAGCACTCCTCCTACCCGCCCTACCTGGCAATGTGTGAGAGTGGCGGGGCCTCCTACAGAGGGGTGTCCCCAACCCTGGTCCACAATTACCCAGGTAAGATTCTGAGTAAAGGATTATTTTGACATTTTGGGAAATACGAATATATTTGCTTTCTTGCAAAGATTTAGATGACTGACACCACTCTCGTCTGCGTGATCGTTATGAAATGACTGTCAGCAACTAGTTGAACACCAGGACTGGAAACGGATATAATGATATGATGTAATGCATGAACGTCCCCTGTTTTTTAATCTTTCATTTTTGTTGGGATTAAACAAAATACGAGAGATACTGGGTTAATTAATGAGCTTTAAGGTGCTGGTAGGTGGAATTTGTTACCTCTGAACAGAGGAAAGCAAGCTTTAAAGCTTCACCAACCAATACCTTTGACATTGACAACAGATAAAATAGTTCACAGTGACGAACACATAGGGAACTAAAAAAGGCAACATTTTCTGGATGTGCTTGCTTATGTTTATTTTTTGTTTTGTTTATTTAATTTGCAGGTTTAAAAACTGTATAGAAGTTAAATGTTATCCAATATTATGTCTTTGTAACATGAAATATTGTACTGGTGCTGCACTTTAAGTTCAAGGGATTGAAAATTTCATTTGAAGTGTAAGTATTGAAAGCATTTTAAGTTCCAGTTTCTAATGGGGCTTAATTTGTACAAAATTTCATCCAAACCGTACTATACCTTATACGTTATTTTTTAATTACAGTGGAAATGTATGGACTTTAACCCCTTAAACCCCCTTGGTTAAGTCATAAACCCTATTTGAATGACCCTATAATGCATGAATTGATCGATTAGGTAACCGCAATTTGCGCATTATCGCCCTTATTGGACAGTGAAGGGGCAGAAAGGGAACGGTTAGAGACGGGAGTATGACATGCAACAAAGGTCACTGTCCAGAAGTGAACCAGCGATGTTGCGGCGGTTGTGTAGGCTTGGGCAGTATTAAGGTATTATGGTATACCAAGGTATTTAGAGATCCCGAAAGTGAGTGAGAGTTTAAATATTGTTAGAAACACAGGTGCTCCTCTTTCTGGTGGATCGTTCATTTTCTGGGCGCTCAGTTCAGATTTGAATGGGTATGTTTACTCAAAAGATCCTCTCTGCTTTGTCTCCTAACTTTAGTGGCCCTCCACATTGCTTTTAATAAAATGAACAAGAATCTGTCTATTCTTGATTTGTCTATTTTACTCTTTTTAGAATACGGCACGAATATTACTTCTCTGACTCACTTATTTCTCCAACTGTCGCTCATCTTGTCTCCACTGTGTCACACAGTGTTAGTTTTTTTCCCCACCATATTCCTCCATAATCCGGTCCCCTACTCTACCTCTGATTGGCTAACCCCACCCTAACCCTAACTTTAACAAACCTAACCTACAGAGGCAATGAGTACTAGCCAATCAGAGGTAGAGTTATTGAAATCTGGTGGGGGAAAACAAAATAATGCTGTCACACAGGCTGTGTGTATCTTAAATAGCAAAGTGTATATTAATTATTTTTGATCGCTATAGAAAGTAATGTGTGTGTTTTCTTCGTGTGTGTGTCCACCAGGATTCCACTACCCTTTGTACGGTAAGACGGCGGGCAGGGAGGAGTCGGAGGTGACTCCAACCAGCAGAGGAGGAGTGATGAGCAGCAAGCAGAGCAGCGACTCGTCCACGTCCTCAGCCATGGAGCTTCTGCAGCAGCAGAGCCATCAGTACCACGGAAAATCACCTGCTGTGAGACTCACTTTAATGCTCACTTAGGAGTAAAGAACATCACCTACACCAGCATGACACTCACATACTGTACCTGACACACAAAAGGTTCCCTATTATGCTTTTCTCTATTTTCTGTCATATCCGTAATGTTGGATGTTCATGTTGAATGTGGCCAAAGCTTCAAATGAGGTAAAAGGATTTAAAAGAAATCCCTGTTAGCCAAAACCTCAGATTCCCCATTGTTCTGAATGCTCCAGTTTCAACATTTTTTTTTTCTACTCTCGGCTCTGTATGATGTCAAATGGAGCTGTTTTTTCATATATGGTCATTTGCACAAAGCCCTATCCTCAAGGCAACTGCTACGCTCAGTCTATACCACTCAGCAAAGGACAACACACTAGTCTTGAAGTTGTTCAATATGTTGCCAAGAAAGTGCTTTTTCAGTTGTGAACATTAAACTTGTAATGTTTTCCTAAAGAAGAAAGCGCCAAACAAGATTGTTTACATTGTATAAGATATTGGGAGTTTTTTCAACAGCCTGGTAAACACAATTTAGGGTCACCTTTAATACACAAAGAATGAAGACAAATCATCATTCATAACCAATTAAGGATGCAAAACCTTACTGCTGACCATTTTACAAGGCATACTGCAATGTTTAATTGTTAGTATTGTTCTTTCCAGGCAGTTTTTTTTTTTTCCTATCAATTTAAATACAGTATGACATCAAACAATTGAGAATACTTGAGGGAAGTCTGACATATAGTTCACTTTGGAGAACAGATGACAAAAATTAAAAAAGAACATGAAACAAATTTAAATGACCCTTTAAGTTATTCAGATTTTAAGCGACTCATTACTTGTGTAAACAGTGTGGATACACCAAACTACTACTTGATAATGATACGATGCTTCGGCTCCAGTTATATTACTGCTGTGGCTGCCAAGACATGGAGTTCGTGGTGGGGGCCAACATCATCTTGAGGAAACTTTCTCTGCTTTCAACCTGTAGAGCAAATTTGGGTTTATCACCGTTCACTTCAATCCAGTCCCATTTTTCTTTTTCAAGTTGACATTAGAAGACCTGCAGCTCAAGAAATGTCGGCCTTCTTCAGTGGTAGATGCCGTTTAGTTGTTAGTACAGGATTATGTAGAAATACAAATATACACTAAATTACTACACACTATTACTTCTTTCTTCGGTGTCCTCAAATAAGTGAAAATGTCCTCAACGGGACTTAAAGAGGTGTTTGTGAGTTTGCAGTCAGTACTACTGGGCTGAAGACTCAGATGTTTAGTTGACATGCACAACAGTTTGCGGGGTTAGAGAAAAGAAACGCTTAGTAAAAAACGTAAATCCACGTGTGTGTGTGTGTGTGTGTGTGTGTGTGTGTGTTGTGTGTGTGTTCGTACAGCCCGGCGAGAAGGGTTCCCCCGAGGGTGAGAGGGAGACGGAGCGAGACAGGAACCACGTGTCATTCGCCCGACACCTCCACACACACCATCACACACACCTGGGTATGAGCTACAACCTGATGTCAGGACAGTACGACATCTACCAAGGTACGATGACACATTGACTCCAAAACGTGTTGACAGAAACTGACTAATTTAAGGTTCGACAAGTACTAAAAAGCAGATTAATGCCCATGGTTTTGAAATGACATACTCTATCTGCTATCACATACAGCTTAATTGAACATGTGACTACATTCTTTTGGTCAGTTAGAGTAAGCTGTTGTTGATGCTGATGTTGTTGTTTGCTTACAAAAAAATATCATTTAAAAAAAAAAAAATCCATTGTAAAATTACAAGATGCTTAATATGGACAACCAGCATGTCATTCAGCTTGTCAGGAAGACCAGTGAATTACAAAATAAATGTTCTGACTATGGCCAGCTGAACAGAATTGAGCTCAAAAGGCAGAGTGAAGTTCTTATTTGTTGAAATGTGATGTTTCACTTATTTTCCTCTCTGTGTTCTTACTGCTCTGTGTTGAAGGGTTGAGCTCCAGATCGCTGGTCTCCAGTCAGCAGGTGTCAGGACACTCCTCTACTGGTAAGTTTGAAAAACCGAAACTGTATGCTGATAATACCAGAATGTGATAATCGGAGCTTAATGCCAACTTTGGCCACTCAAAATTATCTACTGGTTTACTTGTTTCCCTGCTGTCCCTTAAAGATATTTTAGGAGCCCAGTGAGTGTCTTCAAGCCAATTTTTAAATTTTATGATTAGATTTATTGAATTTGTTTATCCTTGCTTGCCCTTGCATGTTTGGATCTTGGTTTGTGTTGTTATCTTTAAATATTTCATGTGTTAAATACACAATAAAATGCCCTTAGTTATTGGATAAATTGGGCATAAATGCAGCTTTGTCATGTTACTTACTAAAATGTAAATTTCAATAGTGTCCACTTAATCATATCAAGGTGATTTTTAGGTTGCACATAAATGCAGCATGCTATGCTCGCCTAACATGTGCTAAAACCATGACGCTCGAACCGCCAAAGTGGCTAATGGTATCTTGATGGTAGCACTGTGGTTTATTTTTATTTTTTCTGTGCTGCTTACCCTCTTCAGCTCAGGTGTGCTCAGTGTGGATCACAAGATCACATGCTCATATATTATCCACTAAGTTTGTATCTTATGAAGGGAACTGGCTACATTTTTCTTTCATAAAATGCAAATTGGGAGCAGAATAAGTCGGCGAATTGTCTCGTCTTCAGGCCGTCTGGCAGCTCAATAAATCAAATATCTAAACCTTCTCTCCTGAAAATAACATCGTTGAGGTTCGTGCCTTGTTGCCTAAATTATCATCCAGTAGATCATTACCCACTTTGCAGTGTTTTCCATATATTTTCATAGGCCATATATCACTGCCTTTGTTTGAATGTGTGAAATAATGCAGAAGGGAACCAGGCCGTTTAACAGCATAATGTGATGATTACCTTACTGGTGCAAAGACTGCAGTTATCTATAAATGGTAATTGCTGTGAAATGGAGGAGATTAACGGGAGTGATGCTGACAGTGGAAGCACACAACAGGCGAGAAATGAAGAATGCCAGGTGTTTTCTACAGAAGATGGAAGCAGCTGTGCTTTCTAATGTTTAGACCTAATGTCTGAAGTTCACAAATGAATTATCTTCTTATCTTGTGAACAAACCGTTTACTCACAATCACAACATTATCTCCAAATAACAAAGCTTGGTCCTAATAGTTGTGTAGGCCTGTTCATTTTGCATTTGAAGGTGTTGTCCTCTGACACTTTATCTGAACGCTTAAAGGACATTCATGTTGGTATCACCAGTAAACAACAAGTTTTGTGGAAAAAGTTGAATCCAAGGACTCTAGATATCTGGTAAAAGAGCACATACTTTACAGACCCAGCACAGAATATTTACATGAAGTTAGCCTTTCTTAACTTCATCATGTTGCCCCACTTGGCACCTTTGAGTGTTTCAGTTATTTTCTTTGAGTTTCGAGTCACAATGAATGGCATTCTTTCATGTCTTGTGTGTGAATTTAGCCTGAACTACAAATCATGTACCTTTTTTTTATATCTGTATTTGCATTTGCCAAGTCATTCCAAAAGTTATTCATTCATTTTACAGGCAGATATTACAGACAGCCAAAGGTTTTAGATTTTAGATCACTATTTAAGTGTTTTCAGAGGCTTTAGACTTGATGCAGTAATCCATCACAGTGAAAACAACACAGTGTTGCTCTAATTTATTTTGTTGGTTACATTATCTACATGCACATGTTTACAAATTTGAACTAGATTGGATTTGTCAGGAATGTAGCGTTAAGGTATGTTAAGACTAAACACTAAAACATGAGTTTAAACATTTTCGACTTGTGTGGATGCTTCTTTGCTCTTCTGATTAATGCAATTGCACCACTTCCAGTCTGAACACACCTAAAATCTTGACTCTTGTTCCTGAGCTGAAAGACCGATATGTGACTGAAAGCCTGTGTTTTGTCCTCTTGTCTCCACAGACAGTGAAGGGAAGAAGTAAGGACCATGTGGCCACGTCTCACATGAGGAACGGCACATTTATCAGACATCAATTCCATGGTGTTGAATAAGCTTCGCCTCGCTGAGAGGCAGAGAACAAAAAATTAAAAAATCTCTTTCATTTCTTACTAAAGACCAACCACCTGTTTTATAACACGTAATCGAGGAGCAGACGGGCCGACAGAAAGCAGGATCGGGAACTTTTTGAAGGAGGAACTATCTGTACAAATCCAATGACTTTTGCAGGATCGTGACAGAAGCAGGCAGCGCGTATAAAACCCAACCCCGCCGTGCACTCAGCCCAGCCGCGGCTTTGGTGTTTAACTTTATTAAATGCACATTTATCGTAGTGTATTAAGATGATGATGATATGACTGAATGTACTGATGATGACTTACATGATCCCAATAGTCTTGATCGTTTTTTTTAAACTCCTATTGGGAAACAGCATTAGGAAGCTAAAAAGTCTATTATTATCCTTACTATTCTTATATTATGATTATTGAAGTGGTCCTCCTCCCTCCATAGTGCTGACGCTACATTTGTATTACTAACCTGTACTTGAGCGTAACCATGTTGATTGTATTGTCTTTATGTGAGAGTAAACCTTCACATCAACCTGCCCAGTGCCATGTAGGAACCCAGTGGTGTATATATTCTGTACAGATTCATGGCGGAGCACTAACATGCTTTATTGTACTCTATGTTGACCATCAGCCATGCAGGGGAGCAGCGTGCAGAGCAGGAAAAACCAGCAGAAACAGAATCCCTATTTTCTTTATTAGATGACTTCTATTAATCGGCAGCAGTTTGTCCTTTAGCCACATGTTCCAGTGACGTAACCTATTTTGCACATGATGTTGTTGCACATATCCCATTTGGTTAGAGAAGGATGTGTCATTTAGTGAATTTTAGCCCCAGTTTGTGCCTCTTGTGTCTAAGGAGCAAAGGTGGAAGTCGGGTGACGTAGATAAAGAGACAACGTACGGGTGGGTGGATGGATCTCGTTTTTTTTCTACAGTTAAGGTTGATACAGCAGCAAAACGAAAACAAAGTTCCCTAACATTAAGCAAGTTGTTCATTTTCACCCAATCCTTGATCTTTCCGTGGCACTAACAGAGTGGTTTTGTGCCTAAACCAGCTGTGTCAGATGTGGAGACATTTGTATGACTCAACAGTGATTTGTATCTGTTTTGGAAGGGTCTGACCAACCACGCTATCCTGTTATTGGCACCAGATCAGCAAACGCTAATATGGATTGTATTTAAAAGCTATGAGAAACAACATATTTTGTCATTTATTTTGGTGAAATTGCTGGACTTCGGCAGTGAGGGTTAGTCAACAGTATACACAGATATGAGCCGCTGTTTTTTGTCATCTTTGGCGCGCAAATACAATTTTGACTCATTCCTTTATTCTTCGTCCCGAACAAATACGGCAACTGGGGTAGGACGGGAATAGGAACCAGCTATTGTGTGTTGTTGCCATCTTTGTTTAGGTCAAGGAATATGGAGGTGGAGACTCGCTTCATGTCAAATTCAGTCAAAGAAAATACAGAATAAGAGTGTGAGGATTTTGGAAGAAGTGCTAAGATTGAGGTTGATAAATGACCTGTTGGGTTTACACTAAAACAGTGACCTGTTATTATTCGACTTGAATATAATAAACAACCATCAGAGATTTCTAATGTAATAAAAAGGACTGTGCTTAAGGCAGAGGTACAACCTGGGGCTAGGTGAATGAATGATGGATGCCAGTGAGCGTGTGCTACTGGCATGTTTTGTTTGAACGTGAAAGACCCAAATGCCAGACAGTGATACTAGTCACACCACCTCTGAAGGACAATTCCAGTGTTGAGGTTTTTGCTGATTTTCTACATCTATTTCTTTCTCATCACCTCTAAGCCAGCACCACACTCAAAACTAAATGGAATTTGGTGTGCTTGCTCAGGTACAATCGTGAGTTTTAGGGCGAAAAAAAGAAGCTACATCGTTCGTCAATCTAACATAGGCCATAGGTTTTCACTTTACTTCATAGAGTTACACCAGTTTTTGTATATTTGTCTTGTTTTTAGGAACTTCCAAGTTGTGTATAAAAGCATTTACTTGCAGTGTCATTTTCAACAGCAGTTTGAGACCATGCTAAATTCAATTTAGTTTTGAGCCCAAATTGATGCTTTCTTCTTTACTATACTATTCAACCCATAGTTTAAGACAGTGTTTCTATCAGAATGTTTATTTTGAATAAAAACGAAGATGACACAAAAATATAAATAAACATGATAAAATCTGGATAAAAACTGATCGCACCGGAATTGTCCTTTAAAAAGTAAAATGCCCACTTTTTTACTGACAGGGATGCCAGTGGGGAAGCGTACTTGTCAGGATTCCCACAATCCTTTGCCCTGCCCCTGCTCCCATGCCTCCTACAAGCGAACTAGCTCACTGCAGAGCCTCTGATAGACAGAAAGGTCAGATGTTAGCATTGTTGCCAAACCACTGCCACATCTCTAAAATAAAGAAGTACCAAAGCGTTGGCAACAAGAATTGGCCTGATTCTGGTGCCTCATTCATGGATCCGGCAACCAGGCCTGCAACATTTACACCAATGTTGGCTCAAGTCCTTTTGGCAACACGTGATTGGCTTGTGATTTCTGTAATTACATTAACTTCCAAATAAGGTAAATGCAGCATAACGACAAATTAAGAATTAAAAGCTATAGTAACGACCTCACAGCCGCACTGAGGAGCCAACAAAAATCCTAACCTTGTCTATCAGCGGCTCTGCCTCACTTACACAACACCTTACCTGCATAGTATCAGTGATCATTCTATTACTTGAATATAGTGCTATGAACTCTGTTTACAAAATGCTGTCATCTTTTGGGAGACACAGTGTTGTCTTATAAAGGCTGCTTGGTATGTTCAGTTCATCCACCCGGTGTATCTAGTAAATAACACACTGAAATCGTATAAACATGAAACCTGCTGTTGCTTTTTTATACTGTATATGCCTTAATTCATATGTTTGGCAATCATGATTAAAGGATGTTTATATATATATTCTTTTCCTGTGGAGTTTTGTCTTTGCAAGTGACACTAAAAAACTAAAATGCTGGCTTTTAATACAGTAACCAACTTTCATGTATAATGGAAACCACCACAATATTTCTTATTAGGGCCAGAGCACCGCACTGCTTCTGATATGGACACCCTACAAAATTTAAACAAAGGCACAAGACAAACAAAAAAGCCTCTTGGAGCCACAACCTAAACTCAACAGGAAGTCAATTTTCATTTGAAAAAGGGCATTTCTTTTACTCGTACTCTAACAAACTCTAAAGACCTTCATGATGAAAAGTTGTGGTATCTGAGTTTTCATTGAAGGGCGTGTCTGTGGCGTGGTGTCGCGTTCCCATGTTTCCCCATGAAAAGGGAAGCTGCAACTTGAGTGTACATGGTCAAATCTGCCCCAGAATTCACGTTTGATCAGTCCCACTGTCAAGACATCTACGTGCTAATATTCAGTCACAGTCATAGCGCCACCTACTGACAACAGGAAATGATACGTTTTATACTTTCATGTGCTCCTCCTAGCATGTTGACCAGATCCACCTCAAGTGGCAGTCACAATGTGATTCAATAGGATTAATGTATCAATATAGAATATTGCAGTTCTCCTCTCTGCTTTGAATTTGAAGATTTATGATATATTTTTTAATTACTATATTTAATGACTAAAATAATTTGGCAAGTAATTTAGTAAATGCATGGGAGTTTAAGAAGAACACTTTTTATCATTATGATTATATTACTATTAATCATTATAATTTGATGGAGATGGAGCAGTGGATAAGACACATGTCTTTGGCATGAGAGACCCAGGTTCGAATCCACTGTAAATCACCAATGTGTCCCTGAGCAAGACACTTGACCCCTAGTTGCTACAGAGGCGTGCGACCTCTGATATATTGCAAATATATCAGATATTTGCAGAAAAGAGTCAGCTAAATGAATAAATGTAATTATTATTACTCATTTATTTCCCCTTTTGGTGTAAGTACTTGGACTGATGTATGACCAGGACCAGTGGTAAAAGAAGTATACTTTTACTGAAGTAAAAGTAGCCATACTACTAAATACACTGTTACAAGAAAAAGCCTTTTAGCCCATTTCAGAATAATGTATCTTATATGACTGAGTAATAATTAGGTCTATGGATGCATTAATGTGTCCATCACTTTTGTGTTGCAGCTATGTGGGGCTATTTTTAACAAATGCATATATTGCTGAGTTGCCTAATCTATAATAATACATCATAATTAGTTTAGTTATTTAATTTTGTATTACTAATGTAAATCTGCAAAGTATTTCCCTCAGAAATGACACACAAAACATTATCTGTATAGCTTAGGAGGCTGTCTTCTTTTTTTCCTTTGGGATTGGCCTTTGGGATTGGCCATGACGTCCTGTGGTGAAGCCTTGACCTTTGATGCATAGTCTAGGTGTACAGTAAGGCAACCTGCATGTTTTTTATTATTAGGCCTATTGGTAATTTGTTTACATTGTAGGCTGTAGCCTGTTTGTTTTTCTGCACGCCTTGCGAGCAGCATAAAATACAACAATTATATATATTTCTAATGCTGAGTAAATGAATTTAACTTCCACTACTGACCAGCACAGCCCAAAACTGTACTGGTAAAGGGGTGAGCAAGACATATTGATCAAATCAAATTAATTCGTACTAGTATAATATAGTCGCACTAGTGATGATGATGATTTTCATTTGGGGGAGCAGTTTAAACTTTCCAGTGGTGGACAAACACTTGTAGTATTACAATATTGTAGAACACTTAGAAGTAAAAAATAAATAAATAAATAACAGAAGAGAAATGTGTCTAATATGTCGGAAAAAATAAATTGTGATAGCCTAGTGGAGTTTCACCTCCGACCAGCAGAGGGCGCAGATCACAGACACGTCTCCGTCATCACTTCCGCTGTTAAAACAAAATGGGTGGCGCCAAAGCTTGACAACAAAGCGGCTGTTTGCTGCCTGTAACGGACAGTAAACAAAATCTCTGCTCCGTTTAAGTTTGGTGCCCACAAGTAGGTCCGAATTAAACGACGGCGTGGAGAGGAGTTTCGCAGTTCACAGTTGGAAACGTTTCCGTTGGAGCTGTCAAATGTCACCATGGCTTCGAAGACAGACCAACTTCTTATCGTTGTGTCCATCCTGGAAGGTAACGTTCACGTTAAGGAGGCGGACTACAAGCTGCTGACCAGCACACACATGTAACGCTAACGTTAGCTTCTAGAGTAAATTCAGTTATACAATTGCCAGCATAGTGCGGTTAATGCACGGGTGGCATTTGTAACGTATTAACTAACGTTAGCTCTCTGAAAGGCAGCCTGTTGCTGCTGATCGCGCCAGCTTAGGCGGTTAAATCCACCCTGAACTGTTACAGACAAAGCTTTGAAAGGCACAATTTCACACAAATAGTAAAGTAAAAGAAGAAAATCTACTTTATTAATCCTTGATGAAATTTTTCTGTTGTCATTTACACACAAGCCAGAAACAAACACACATGTACTGTATAATGCATTAGTTAATTGTCTGACTGATGGGGGCTGCCGCAAATTGGCAATGCCCTGGAGGTGTTGTGGTACCTCTCCAGATACCAGTCCACAACTTGTATTACTGAAGAGTTCTTGATTACCAAGCCAAGTCTCTGTGGACTGTGGACATAATGAAACAAATAGGATTCGAACCTGTGCAGGGTAACCCCATTGGATTTGAAGCCCAGCGCCTTAACCTCTCGGCCACTGTGACTACATTGAGTTCGTCCATTATTTATCTATCTAATGACAACTCATGTGCTAAAGTGGCTCCTGCAAGAAATGTTTGGAAACCTGTCTCTCCTTTGCCAGGTCGTCACTTCCCGAAGACTCCCCGGCTCAGTCTGGTGGTCCAGGCGAGTTTTGATGGTGAGCACCTTGCAACAGACCCTGTGGAGCACATAGACCAGCCTCAGTTCAGCACCGAGCTGGCCTGGGAGCTGGACCGCAGGACGCTGCACCAACACAGGTCTGCACCGCTACCATGTTGTCACTGCAGTTTGAACTTTCACTGTAATGACATTGCAAATAAAAAGCAATATGAGAGCAGCCAGAATACATTTACCTGAGAGGTTAAAAAAAAGTCTTTGCAGTAATTAAATTTGTAATGCATGAATTAGTCACCTAAACGTCAGACAACGATGTTACACCCATCACAAATTTCCCAGAGCCTAGGGCTGGACTATATGGGCAAAAATCTTATCACGATAAAAATGAAAATAAAAATGTTGCAAAAAAGCTGAAGAAACCTGATTGTTTATTGTGGTTTAAATTCTTTCTTTATGGTCAACACTTGATGCCAAACAGTGAATCACTTCACAAATCTGAGGTACAACATTCAAAACAATATGTCAAACAGCCAAAAATCCAAAGATATTACGTTCAACTAACCAATTAATTAATTGTTGCAGCTCTAACTGACTGTTGCTTTGAATTAAATCACTAATATTTATTTCACAAACCACTGTTGCTGGATGTTCAGATTAACTATTATACTGTATTTATATTTTAGGTCATGTGGACCTCTGTCCATTTCTAGTGGCTTAATTTATAAACTGTGTGATCTTGATGCACTTTGACCACTCTGTCCTCCCAGACTGCAGAGAACTCCCATCAAGCTTCAGTGTTTTGCGGTTGACCCTGTGAGTAAGAGGAGAGAGAGTGTGGGCTACATCGTCCTGGACCTCCGGTCTGTACAAGAGGTCAAACAGGTAAACTTCCTCCTCTTCTGTGTCTGGGTGACATGTTGAAATAGGTTAGCGCTATGATCAGTAATATCTGGCTTCTGAGCTTTACCAGCATACCAGTAGAAACATATTTGTTATGAGTGATGTACAGATGAGATTTGTTTTCTGTGTGTATGCGTCAGGAGCCTCGCTGGTATCCATTGCTGAGCAGTAAATACATCAAGCAGAGACCAGCCCTCCTCCTCAGCATGGTGCTGGAAAATGACAACAAGCCCTCCGAACCTTCACCTGATAGGTTCAAAGCCAAGAAGGCCCCGCCCCGAAAAGGTCAGCTGGTTCAGCAATACTGTTTGCTTTGTTTGTACTGTTCTTGCTTCAGTGTCTCTTGTAAGTAAAATGATTAGTGATGTAATTTCTTGAAGTCATAGCTGATGCATGCGTTAAGAACACTAAAACAACATGTTTTTGTTGGCAGTCTGTCCGCTCTGTCTCTCTGGTAAGCTGTCAGTGCTGTGCCGTCTGTTATACCTGAAATGATGACATCTTTACCCACTGGACACATGGGTGGATGCTTTTTTAAATTACATTTTGATGTCACAATAAAACATGATTTTAAATGCCCCATCATGCAGGACTCTTATTACCAGTTTCCCTTTGATTTGGGATATCTGCAAAACTCTGCAGTGATCCAGATCCCTCAAACCTCTGTCATGTGTAGTTTGTGAAGTAAAAATTTTAAATGTTCATCTTTTGGAGCAGTGATTTTTCACTTTGTACAGCACGTTTTGTAGTGAAAGTGCTGTAAAATCCTCCACTTGATGTGAGGGGATTTTAGGATACATGTCCACTAAATGTGAGACTAGTGGTCATCTGATTAATCAGCCCAATAATATTGAGATAATCGGCATTTGCTGAGACCTGCGCTCACGAGGCTGAGATATCATCCTAAATGACATCAGCTCTTATCTAAAACCATTACTGGCTAGCGGTAGATATAAATAGTTATACTTGAGTATACCGCTCTGAAATCTACAGCACAAGTGTAACATGTTACTAAGATAACCATGTATATCAGATATTGTTTTGGTATAGGCATTATATAATGGCCGTAGTCCGCCCTGCTCTCTAAATATCAGCCTCGGCATCGACCCATATCCGTTGGTGAGACTAACTTGAACATGTGATCATGGGCGTGACACATCAACTCACAAAAAAAGGCTTTTGCTTTGTGCAGCCCGAAAGTGATACAGTTAAATCAAAGGCGGCAGTATTTTTAATATTCCCTGTAGTTGCAAGCTGTGAATTTGTAAATTTCTAATGTAATAATAGTTCTGTGCTGTGAGGGCTTTTAAAATAATACAAGTATAAAATAGCTGCTTTCATGCAGAAGTGTCTGCTCCATTTATTAGCCAGCATGTGTTAACACCCCACACTGTAATATACAATAGTGTTGTCACAATACCCAAAAGTATAACTTCAATACGACACCTGCCTAAATATCTCGATAGAGCGATGCACAGGCCTCAGATCTAAGCCCTAGCCCGGCCCGTGTCCAATAACTTGTCAGAAAAAGCCTGAGCCTTTTTTCCCTCCTCCCCAATACCACAGCTTACTGTTACAGCCAATAAAACGGTTCAGTTTTGTTTTTAAAGGCAGTGGTTAGCCTATTTTTCGTTTCGTTTCTATATTAGGTTAATTTAGAAAAATGGAGCTCTTTTTTTTTTTTTTGTTTAAATTAAAGTTTTTGTTTATTAAAGAGACAACCGTTCGGTCAGCAGCCAACATCCAACAGTGATTTAACGATCAATTTAACCTCTCCAATCAGCACTTGATTTGCCTACAAGAAAATCCGTAGATATAAAACACGTCAAGCAGATCACAAGGTTAGTTCAAACGTTTATAATCACTAGTAAAAAGGCATTTTTGACAGGCTGAGGCAGACGGCTGCTGCTGCTGCTGCTCGCAAGGCGTGCAGAAAAACAAACGGGCTACAATCTACACAAACAAATGACCAATAGGCCTAATAATAAAAAACATGCAGGTTGCCTTACCGTACACCTAGGCTATGCATCAAAATTCAAGGCTTCACCACAGGACGTCATGGCCAATCCCAAAGTCCAATCCCAAACGAAAAAAGAAGACAGCCTCCTAAGCTATACAGATAATGTTTTGTGTGTCAGTGTGAGTAGCTTATAAATTGTCTTTCTATCTTTGTTTTACCACCTCCAGTTTCTCCTTCGTTATTTTAATTGACGGATGTCTAAAACATATAAAGAAGAAGCCTTATACAGGCCAGAGGCCCAGCCCGCATGAGCTATGACATGAAAATTGGCCCGAAGCCCGGCCCCAGGGTCATAAAACAGTCGGGCCCCGTTGGGCTCGGACTGAAATGAAGGGCTCTAACCAATACTGAAACAATACCACAACAAAAATCTAAAACATCAGGAAAAGTAATGGAGTAATAAATGACAGAACGTTCCGATCTACTGAGAGAGCCTGTTCTCATTAATGTCATTTTTAAATCTAATTTGACTAAATGGAAAGTAGAAAAGGCGCTCAGCAGAGCCCAGACCTCCGCCAACAAGGTGTATTGACTCGTGTGTTCAGTCTACTTTAGTGCACTACTGTAGTGAGCAGGCTAATAATCCTGAGTTTGAGCTCCATCACCATGGCTACCAAGTGCCAGACTTAAAGTTAATGCTTATTATTTTCAGGCTAAATAAAATTGTACTTTATGTGCTGATGACGGGTTTTGTTTTTTCATGTAGATGTGTTTTTGACAATGAATGAGCACATTAATAACTGGATTACTGTAAGTTAGCTAAAAAGCTAAAGCCACATTAAACCGTTAACATTGCCCTCAATTTCCTTCACAAACTTCGATGCTAAAAAAGTTTGCTTGTCACACACTAAAGTTGGACGTGTTGTCTCTCTTGGTCTGTGTAGTTTTGAAACATCATTTACAGGTGGCCTTTGTGGAGTCCATGGTTTTGCCCTCACGTAAGCGAAATAACTCCACAGTTCACTCCATGCGTCTGCTTTGTCGACAAGACATGGAAGAGCACTTATGCTGGTAGCCATGTCTCTCCTTCTAATTAATGTACCAATAAAAGGCGGTGTTGTATCGTTTTTAATGGCAGGGTATTGCGATTCTAGTATTGGTATACCGTGCAGCGGTAAAACAGTATATGCTTATGTGCTGTGTACCCTACTGTCTGTGTCCCTGTTAGAGCTAAAACCCTGTGAAAAATCTGGCTGGTCAACCTGTTTGAACATTTATCATGCTCATGTGCTCATCAGTGTTTTCTGTAGTTGTATATAGACCCAGGTTCACTTCAGGTTCAGCTCCAGTTGTTGTGTAAGCAAAAAGTTGAAAAGTAGAGAATGAGTTTTTAATGTATTTGAAAGAAAATGGGATGACGGGCTGATATTGAAATTTCAAAAAAAAAAAAAAAAAAAAAGTATTGTTGGTGTGAACCATTTAATGTGTGGGGGAAAACCTCATGTGAGTTTGTTTTGTAGAACCAGCCCTTTTCTGGTTTTCTGCTAACTGTACCTAGTTCAGAGTAAATGAACTTTTTATCATCTTATGTTCTGTTCGCTTTTCTCTCTTTCTGTCCCTCTGTTGTTTAATTTTTGCGCCGCTCTGCTGTTGTAGGTTCTCCTGCAGTAACTGACCTGCTCCCAGAAAACCTGGAGGCTGCACTGATCCCAGACCAGGGCTACCATCAAGTCGGACCTGCAGATCACTGCTCTGACATGTTTGTCCTGTCCGTCACTGTGGCATTTGCTACCAAACTAGAACAGGTAACGACAATACTTTGCCTCTGACCTTTGATTGATAACTTCTAGCCAGACCTGTTAGCAGGCAGTGGAGTGTTATTTCTTTAATGGCATTAGACAACGTAGCCAATGTGACGGCATTTCCAGAAAGGACTGCATCTCCAGTATAGTTTGATAACAGTAAATAGAGAAACACTGTTTCCTTGGCTGGAAGGTCATTTGTTCTCACTGTTGCCGTCATTGTCGCTTTTTCTTTTCACACATAATGAACGCAGCTGACAACATCTGGCCTGTTGCTCAGGGCTGTCCAGAGGCAAAAAAAACACTGACTGAAGCTAAGCAAAGAAATTAAATTAAAAAAGTTAATCAGAAAATAAGTTCTTAAATGTGTTTCAGAGAGAGATGTTGATCTGACAATGAGGAACATATCAGGTGGTAATTTTCATTTAAACATTATTGCTTTAACTCTCTACTGCTTCAACAAGGACTGTCTGTCCCCCAGAGCGTTATGAGAAGGAAGACACTGAAGACGTCAACCAAATTAAAGCAGTCTCTTCTGTCTCACTAACCTCTCTCCCTGCAGTTAGAAGTGGGGTAGAGACAGTATATAGATGGTTCAGCAGAAAGCACTGCATTTTGAAAGCTGAACTACGTTTTTAGCAGTTTTGATATGTTTGAATCCAGTCGTAAATTTGAGTATTTTCTCTTTGAAGCTTCTCAAACAGAGAATGTACTGTGCTCATCTGTCTTGTCATTGTAAATTAAATTTAATTAGATGGTTTTTACTTTTGATCAGACACTGATAGCTATTTGACATTTTAAAGATTATCAAAAGGAGGTGGACTAATCAAATAAATATTCCATACATTAATCCTGCAGTGCTGAACTCTGGTCTCCCTTTCTGGCAGTGATGGACACTGTCAACATGTGCTCTGAGCCCCGTGTTCAGAAATAGTTACAGAAATATACATTAAGGCAATAATCCATTAGGTAGAGGAAATGTAACAGCTACATAGCCTACTCCAAATATTTTACAAATACCAACCTGTCATAGAGCAGTAACATGACATCGTGTCTGCCCTCAGGCCTCTCACAGGAAAAGCTACTCCCAAGGTTATCCATGTTTGTCCTCGCCATCCATCACTTTCTGTTTTTGACTGTAATCCTTTCTCTGAACGCTGACTTTCTTTTTTTATATCTGGAGCGTCAGAAATTTGGATGCTTCTTAGGTTTTTCCGACACCACTAGAGTTGCTCCAGAGCCATGTAGAGGAAGAGTCATGTCATCGCCGTTCAGTTTTAATTCAAGAGGCTTCATTGGTATGACTGAATACTGTGTAATGTTAACAAAGCATGTTAACACAAACTATATGACCATAATATACAATATTAAATAATAAACATTTGCTCCAATGGACATTATTATTATTATTATATATTATTCTAACCACAGACACCGGATTTAAATACTCTGGTATACCAAGAATACAGAGAGATTTCCCTGGCGGTGCGTTGTGTGAACTCATTTAGCGAGGAATGTAACATATGTTCATTTATATGTAAGAGTCGTGCACTTTAGCTTTAATCAAAAATGTAGCTGTGTAAATGAATTGTTACAAAATCTACAGCTTCTTTACAGAGTTTATGATATTAAATGTTAATTAAACCCAAATACACTCTGATAAAAATGGTAAAATAAATGTAAATTGAGAATGAGTTGTTAGAACCAACTAGGGCTGGAGCCGAGTATACAAATATTCAGTCGTTTGGTACACATTCGATTTTCAGTTTTGAGATTTGATTGTTGAGGGTTTTTTTCGCCCGTCTGACCTGCCCCTGGGGGGGGGGGTGATGCTTCGATTATTCGCTCTTAAGCCCAAAAATGGCATTCGGGCCAGCCCTACAACCAAGAAACTAACCACATGCTTTCTTGTTGTTTCCCACAGTTGATCCCGAGCACTATGAAACTGTCAGCGGAGGGGTCGGAGTTCTTCTTCTACTACTCTTTACTGGGGAATGACATCACCAGTGAGCCTTTCCACAACCTGCTGAGCCCAGACTTCGAGCCGGAGCGCGCTTCTGTGCGCATCCGCAGCAGCAAGCAGGTCCTCCAGGCCTTCCTGTCTCAGCAGCCCAGTTTACAGGTGAGAGTCAATGTTCCTGATGAAGAAGTCATTGTTACCTGTTACTGGCCATGTGTCATCATGTGTTCCTCTGCGTCCGTCCTCAGATCCACCTGTGCTGTGGGAATCACTCTCTGGGCAGCACAGACGTTTCTCTCTCAGCTCTGGCTGCTGTTTCTGTGGATCTGGAGAACAAGGCAGCGACGGTGGAGGGAGCGTTTATACTCCAACCACCTAAACACATCAAACAGACGCTGCCGGCTCTCCCCACTGACCTGCAACCGACCTTGGGGGTGGCTGTCACCCTCAGGAGGGAGGAGGTCACACCACAGGTGCAAATACCTAGGAAATGTTTTAAAGCTAAAGCTAAAAATGTTTATATATTTAAACCTCAGAGAAAAGAACATTCTTGGACTTGTTGCATGTAGTTGTGGGTTCTATATGTGGATGGAGAAAGTGAAAATAGTGCAGAAAGAAAGGACAGTTCATATTTTCTCTGCCTCATATAAGGTGATTTTTTTCCCCCTTTTCTGTCTCTGATGGTGGAACATGTTGAATTGTCTTCTTCTTAGTCGGCTTATTTGAAAAGAGCCCTCTTGTTGTGAGCAGTACAGCAAATCTGAGATGGTGTGGTCTGCAGCAGTCAGCTTTACTCCTCATCACTTTGGACTGACAGTTATATTACCTTCGGACTATGCTCTTTCCAGTTTTTAGGGAATAAAGGAAGTGGAGCTCAGGCACACTCCAACCCTGCTCCTTCCGGTCCGCCTGCTAAACAGAGACCTCGAAGCTCCTCTCCAGTCCCAAAACCTCCCGACTCTTCTCCTCCTGGTCCTTCTCTTCCTCCACCTTCCTCTCATACAGAGAGCGAAGCAGAGAGCCTGCTGGAGGAGCTGCGACACAGCAAAGAGCAGGCAGGACGTGCAGGTGAAGGCTGCAAAAAAGTCATTTTCGCACAAGAAGTTTAGACAGTTTAAGTCAAACCTCGGGTTAGCAAGAGGAGTAAGCTTGACGTTGTGTTTGTTCATGTGTCCAGCTGCAGATTTGGAAGTTCCTGCGCGGCAGCCCAGTCCGACTGTAGCTACAGCAGAAGGCGGCGCATCATCTGTCAGCGTCTCTGCTCCCAAAGTGTCCATCCCCTCCTCCGCCCGTCACTACTGTTTCTCTCTGGACCTCCGCAGCCTGGGAAACCTCAGCCTGACACACCCCATCGCTGCTACACTCAGGTGACAAACTTCATCTGCACTGCACAGCTGTTGGACTCAGAGTCAGAACTATCAAAAGTCATGTGAACTGTTTGTACATCTAAATCTCATTTGAGGTTCTGTTCATTATGATAAAATTTAAGCTTCACTGTAATGAAATGTAGACAGAAAAACACATAATTATAATAAACATTTTGGGGATGTTCACCTTTGTTTTCAGTATTATCATGACAGAAAAAAATGAGATACAGAACCATTTAATAAATATCCTTTAAGAAAGTGTATAGCAAGATTTTGCAGGTTATTCTACTAGTTTTTGCATTTTAGCCTTTAAAAACAGCCAACCATTCAGTGCAGCACTGTGCTCTAAATCTGTTCTATCTAATTATGGTTGTGTGTTTATTGTATTTCAGGTATTCATATCAGTTCTTTGGCAGTGCAGCTCCCATCATGACCAACCCTCCTGTGGAGCTGCAGAGGAACATGGAGGTGTCTCTGCCTCAGTCCTACTGTGCGTTCGACTTCGCCACTCTGCCACAACAACTCCAGGACACCTTCCTCAGGTAGAAACGTTTAATGCTTAAATAAATACACATCTGCATGCAGTGTGGTGCTGACCTGCTGGTAGAGTGAGGAAGGGGGCCATGATGTTTATTGTATTGATGATGATGATGATGATGATGATGATTGTAGAAGAAATGATGCTACTGTTTATTATCAGTGTTTTTATCTGATCTGATTTATAACATAGCATAACATTAGGAAATGCACTCGTACCTCTTTGGTTTTCTCTCTTTAAAATGCAGTTATTTGTCAGATTAATTGAGCTTGGTTTTCCCATCAGATTAAAAACAGAATAGAGCAGCTTTTATTGGCTCAGAGGATCAATTTGGTCAGGACTGCACAAGGAACAACAACAAATACAAAACAAATCAGATTAAAATGTATGGACAATACACAGTGCTCTGTGTGTGAGTTAACATGAAACACATGTTTACATTGGGGCTGCAACAATTGATTGATTGCCATTTTTTGATAATTGGTTTGAGAAACCTTTAAAAGAAAAAAGTCCAGCTTAAATGTGAATATATTTGGGTTGTGGACAAGACATTTGAGGGCGTCATCTTGGGCTTTGGGAAACACTGATCGACATTTTTCACCATTTAATTAATCAAGACTATGGAAATAATTGTTAGTTGCATCCCTTTTTTAAACAGCACATCTGTTTAATATATCACGTATATGATTTTTGTGTTTGACAGATTAAAATGACTTACATAGGGGATAACCACATCTTTCAGAGAACATCAAGAACAGTTTTATGAAATAGTTCTGATCTGCACTGGAATTGGATTAATCATCAAGTGAATACAGAAAAGTAGTCTTGTTTTCTGTTACATGGTTTTAATGCATAATGATGGGCCAAAGAAAACTTCTGTTCTAACAGGGCAGCTTTACACAGATTTTGTGACACTCCCACGATTACTGCATATTTATTGTCTACAAACTCACTTTTGTCCAGCAGGTGGTGCAGTAGGACTGTGTGTTGACATTGTTTTTGTCTCTGAACATAAATAATGGAGTTAGTGAATTTTTTAGGGTTTTTCAGTCTCGGGTTTTGCTTTTTGTTCACGTGTCTGTGGCTACAGGAAGCCCTGCAGTGTAATAACGTGTGTGTGTGTGTGTGTGTGTGTGTGTGTTGTAGAGTTCCTCTGGTGGTGGAGGTTTGGCACAGAGACTCCACCAGCAGAGACCAGCTGATCGGACGAGCCTCCATCCAGCTGTCTCACCTGTTGAACTCTGAGAGGAGCAGATTCCTGGCATCAACAGGAGAGCAGGGCTGGAGACAAACTCACCAGGACCGGATCCCTGTCGTCCAAAGACATCGGTAGGAAACAGCACTGACTGATAGACTGATCAAATGGTGCGTATTCACCTCTGTTAAACAGCTGTGTTTCCATCCATCAGACCTGCTGAAAAGGTGGCAGAGTTAAGCTATGTGGCAACACTGGAAGACCTGGGATTGGTCAAAGCCAGAGAAGTCCTCGTGTCTGACTCTTCACAGGTGAGCCAGCTGTGTGTGTGTGTGTGTGTGTGTGTGTGTGTGTGTGTGTGTGTGTGTGTGTGTGTGTGTGTGTGTGTGCGCGCGCGCGCGTCTGAGAAACTACTGAGAAATGTAGTTAAACTAGTAACGGTGCTACCTGTAGCGATGCTACTGCCCAACACTGCTCGTACGGTGGGCATGTTGAAGCAGGCTCGGTGGCAGTAGGGCGCAGAGACGATGACTGCACCGGCTCTGTCTTGTTGCTGCAAAGACGGAGCAACTTTCTGCTCTTAAGTTTATTCCATGCAGTCAAGGGCTTCACCAGGTTTGTTGTGTCGCCGCTCTTGGCAGCAATTATCTCACGTCGCAAATATTGCATCGCGCGCTGCTGAATCAAGCCACACTTTTGATTTTCTCCACGTCTTTTACATCCACGAGCCACGTCTCTGTGCATAACCGGCGTGAACTAGTGTTTACATCACCACAGCCAATTACAATCACTTTTAGATGTGGGCACATCAAGAATGCTGCATGCTTATTGGCTCATTGGCGTTAACAAGAACCTTTAGGTATCAAACTTTGGTACCGAAAGTTACCGATACTCGATGGTATTGAGGCAATTTGGTCAGTGCCTAAAAAGTATTGAACTTGATACCCAGCCCTATTCAACTATATATTTATCACTGTGGTAGCAGTTAGTGGTGGTGTTGAACTGGACTGCTTTATGTTGAGAGTTAATAATAATAATAATACATTTTATACATGATTGTCGTTTTGTAAAGGTGGAATTTATAGCTGTATTGTCAATTTAATTTAGTTCACTTTTATTTATATAGCACCAAATCACAACAACAGTTATCTCAGAGCGTTTTTCATAAAAGAGCAGGTCTAGACAATACTCTGTGATGATGTTTACAGAAGCCCAACAATTTCCACCAAGAGCAAGCACTAGGCGACAGAGGCAAGGAAAAACTTTCCTTAAAGAGGCAGAAACCTCGAGCAGAACCACCTACACAATATACACACAGAGGTACAGACAGTAAAGGTGATGTTGCTATAGACTGAATGAATAATGGTATTTACAGTAGTGTTAATGAATGATAATAATCGTAATGTTAATGATTATAATAACAATAATAACAATAGGACTAGTAACAATAATTGTAACAGAGGGTGTCGAGCAGGAACAGGGGGGCAGCAGGTGACTCGCAGCCACAGATCCAGACTCCACAGCTCCAGAGCCAGAAACACCTGCAGGAAGTGATAGGAGGAGAGAAGAGAGGGACGAGAAAGCACAAGACTACCGGAAAGGGGAGATGTCGAGTTAGTAACATGCAATAATGGGATGAGGTTGCATACAGAGGGAGAGAAAGAAGAGGAGAGAGGAGCTCAGTGCATCATGGGAAATCCCCCGGCAGTCTAGGCCTATAGCAGCATAACTAAGGGATGGTTCAGGACTCACCTGAGCCAGCACTAACTATAAGCTTTATCAAAGAGGAAAGTCTTAAGCCTACTCTTAAATGTGGAGATGGTGTCTGCCTCCCGAACCCAAACTGGAACCTGGTTCCACAGGAAATGAGCTTGATAGCTGAACGCTCTGGCTCCTAGTCTACTTTTGGAGACTCTAGGAACCACAAGTAACCCTGCATTCTGGGAGTGCAGTGCTCTGGTGGGGTAGTAAGGTACTATGAGCTCTTTAAGATGAGATGGTGCCTGACCACTAAGAGCTTTGTAGGTAAGAAGAATGATTTTAAATTCTGTTCAGGATTTTACTGGAAGCCAATGCAGAGAAGCTAAAACAGGAGAAATATGATCTCTTTTCCTGGTTCCTGTCAGAACACGTGCTGCAGCATTCTGGATCAGCTGAAGAGTCTTAATGGACTTTTTCGAGCAGCCTGATAATAAGGAATTGCAGTAATCCAGCGTAGAAGTAACAAATGCATGGACTAGTTTTTCTGCATCATTTTTAGACAGTATGTTCCTAATTTTTGCAATATTACGTAGGTGAAAAAAGAGCGGTCCTTGAAATTTACTTTATGTGAGACTTAAACGACACGTCCTGATCAAAGATAACTCCAAGATTCCTCACAGTGGTGCTTGAGGCCGCGATGCCATCAAGGGAAACTATTTGTTTAGATAATGCGTCACGGAGGTGCTTGGGCCCCAGAACAATAACTTCAGTTTTATCCATGTTTAACATTAGAAAATTACAGGTCATCCAGGTTTTAACATCCTGATGGCACATTTGAAGTTTAGCTAACTGATTAGTTTCATCTGGCTTGATCGATAGATATAATAGAGTATCATCTGCATAACGATGAAAGATTATGTAGTGTTTCCTGATAATATTGCCTAAAGGAAGCATATATAAAGTGCTGTGTTGGATTGCGTTAGATTTTGTAGGTGTACCTAATGAAGTGGCGGGTGAGCATAGCCCTCTGTATGTATCTTATGTTTTCTGGTAATGTTTTACCTGTTTTATCCTCTTATGTCATCAGAATGAACCTGAAGTCCCCACACAGCCATCCTCCCTCCCTGCAGCCCTGAGACCTGCTGCCCCCAGCCTGAACCCCACCCCCCTGGGTCCCACGCCTCCAACCGCCCCCAGAGACACCCTGGAGTACCGCACGGCCCTGGAGCTGGAGCTGTGGAAGGAGGAGCAGGAGGATCTGTTTGGTGATCAGGTAAACAACTGTGAAAAATTAAGTACAAATGTTGTTTTTCACTAGGCCACTAATAATTGTTTATTTTTCCACATTTATGAACAGCGTCACACATGCCAATCGATTTTTATCTACTCACTATAAAGGCATAATTTAAAGTAGACCAGTAGTTTATACAAAATGTAGTAACTTTCACACATAGCTGCTTTCAGATTAACAGTTTTTTGCCCATTTCATTTGACTTCATGTAAATAGGTGTTTTAACTTCTCATGTCCATCCCTCATGTTGACTGTTTCATGTTCTGCTGATATATAAATATTTACTGTGTGTGTGTGTGTGTGTGTGTGTGTGTGTGTGTGTGTGTCAGTTGAGGAAGAAGGAGCTGAGCCACATGCAGGCTCTAGCAGAGGAATGGAGGAGGAGAGACAGAGAGAGAGAGGCTCTAGTCAAGAAGAAGGTGAAGCTCCACACCTACATACTCAAAACACACACAAAGCTTAGACATTACACAGATCATACTGCAACCTGTCCTGTTCACACGGCCTCATGGGACACTTAAAGGTTCAGTGTGTAAGTTTTAGTGACATCTAGTGGTGAGTGTTGCGAATTGCACCCCCCTCCCTTACCGAAGCGAGCAGAATAGCTACGGTGCCTGAGACAGGACAAAGACCTCTATGAGATAAACAAGATTGCCATTCAAGAAATGAGTTTTCTTTAGATAGATGTGTTAAGAAATTATATAAATGAATATTATTGTTACTTTTTCATTAATATACAACAGCCACATGAAGAAATGAAGAGCTACATGACGTCTCATACTCCTGTAATACATTATTTTACATCTTGGGTTGGTTCATCTGGACTAACATACCAAAGAAAATGAACATCTCAAACACTATCACATCTAGTGCATCTAGTATGACCACTGACAGATACCAGGACAATGTAAGCCTCTCTGTTTCTGTACCACAGTCCATTATAAACCACATAATACATGAAGTTTACAAAGGCATAGTCAGGTGAGGATCAAGGCTCCTCTGGCTTTTCTTAATTAGATAAGCATGCAAATATAACCAAAATGCTTTTATTAATTTTTTGTAATACAACAGAAACACAAAGTAGTACTGACAGCCATAATTTCAGCTTGTGGTAAAACGGTGCAACATTTTTATTGGGCATTTAGCATGTGAACGTAAAAATTACATATTTGTGTGCACAGTGGGAAGCATTATCCAATAACATTTTTAATGCAAATTAGGAAAATATTTATTATTGGTCACTTGATAGGCACACGACCTTGTTATAGATCACCATTAGTTTTCCACCAGGGCAGAAAAATGTGAAGTTTAGCTGCTGATCTGAGGTTCCCTGCTACCGTTACCGGTTACCGTTTCATTACCAATAATATTCATCAGCTGTTTGTCTCAGGAAGGCGCATTTCTGTCCACCTAACAAAGCCATAACAGAGCTCTGGAGAAGAACTACATGAAATTACAATCCAACTACATATTTTTTTCAAAGTTTAGCTGCTGATCTGAGCTTCGATGCTGGAAGCTGCCGTTTTATTTAAGCAATAGCTCACAACAGGCTGTGGGATACGCTTATTATATCACTGCCTGATTTGAGCTACCCGTTTAATAATGCCAATTAGCGATCAGCTGATTCTCACGAACATAACATACAAAGCCGAGAGAGAGGGAGACACTACATGAAATTAATCCAACTAACATAACACCACAAGCCAAAGCACAGCGCTGGAGAATAAACCAATCCAACTATCAATACATTTTATTCTACCAGTCAGTAAAAGTTTAGTTGGCTGATGCTTCCATGCTCTAATCCAACTTTACGGTTTTATTGCCAATTAATGTTACTACCGGCAAAGCCAAACCACAGGCTGGAGAATAAGTAGGCGCCATGAAATTAATCCATATTTCACACCACTGACAGGGGAAACGCGTCACGTCTCTCTGTGATTATGGCCAGCTTCTAGCTAAAGCTATCAAACAACAGTCCACCTGTCCAACAGAAAACGGACAACTTCAGCACTGCTTTGAAATCAGCTGTCCCACATTAACATTATAGCCTTCCATCTGGCAAAATCCATGATTTCTGCCGTCAGCTGTCTGTCCGGACTCCGTCTGGCTGTCAGCTCTCAGGCTAAATAACACGTGTGCTCCTTCAGTTGTCCAAATGTTACTTCTCTTCTTACTTCTAATAAACCAGAAGACTACTCGGAGTCTGACTGTATATTACTATTATTATTATTATTCCCTATTATTCTTCTTTATACATATACAATGTAGTGACAGGCGTCTACTCTACCGAAATTACACAAGCAGAAGAAGAATGCTGTGATGACGAAACGCGCTCTGTAGTTTGTTCATTGACGGCTATTGTAGAAACGTGACGACAAAACACAGCGACCTCCACAGCAGGGGGTTCCCGTGGTTATGTTGATATAAATGTCTCATTCTAAGGTAATAAAACCATGACGGTTCATTATGTAAGGTCTTTATACACCACTGAAAACACAGTTATGGATCTTATATTGCATTTCTGTCAATAGATCCTCAGAAATATTACACACTGGACCTTTAATATCTGTATTTAATGAGGGGGGAAAAATATTAATGTCTACACATGGTTTTCTCTGGACTTATCCCAAAGTCTCTTTCTGCTTGTAGGAACTGGAGTATAATCTGCTGGAGGAGCAACTTCAGAAGACTTTGTCCGATCTGGAGAAAAGAGAGAAACAGCTGGTTGAGGCCGAGCAGGAGGTCAGGCTCACCTCATTAATGCCATTAATACAGATTATAGTGTATGAGTGTCTGTTTAGTGTTGTGCTCCAGAGTTGTTTGCTGTGTTGAGCTGTCTCATGGAACTAATTCAAACAAAAATGTTTGTAAGTTGAATTGAATGGGAATTCTGACAGACAAGTGAACTGAAAGTTGCTGGGACCTCCACACTTCAAAAAGCCACATCGAAAAGTCTACATTAGTGGAGGATTTATATCGGTTAAAAAAGGTCATGGCTACAGTCTGAAGGTCTCTTCTCCCTGGAACAGTAAAGGCTATCTGTTAAGTATAAGGTCGCAACTAACAATAATTTGTTATCGATTAATCTGCAGATCTTTCTTCAGTTAATAATTTGTGTATAAAATAAAATAGTGAGAAATCAAAACTTTTCCGTCACAGTGTCCTTAAGCCCAAGACTTCTTCAAATGTCTTGTCTTGTCAAAGATATTTGCTTTACTTTCACATAAGATAAAGAAAAACGCTAAATGTTCAGAATTTAGTAGCGTTAACTAGGGTTGTGAATGTTTAGTATTTTTGCTTGAAAAATTACTAAATGACGAATCAGTTACAAAAATAAATTTTCAGTCATCGACTAAATGTTGTTCAACAAATCGTGTAAACGCTTATTATATACATGTGAAATAAAATGGCAGTAAGTGGACTTACGAGAGTTACTCTTTGTGTGTGTCCAGACTCAGAGGCTGCAGAGGGAGCTGCGGGCCGAGCACAGTCTGACCCAGAGGGAGCTGCAGGAGAGCGGCAGGAGGCTGCAGCAGGAGTGTGACCACCGGGTGGCGCTGGAGAGAGACAAAGTCCGGCTGATGGAGGAGGAGAGAGGCCGGCTGCTGCAGCAGGTAGAGATAGGAAGGGTGATTCTAAATGTTCAACTTTACCTGAAAATAATAACTTCTTTAACTCTTTGTCTCTGTTTCTGCTGTCCAGATTGCAGACGGGGAGTCTCGGTATAAGCAGCTGGAGAAAGAGTTCCAGCTCTACAGAGAACAACAGAACGTCAGACCTGAGTTCAGACTGCAGTCAGAGATCAACCTACTGACTCTAGAGAAGGTAAATGACTAGTTTGTCATATCATTACAACTACCAAGGTAATTAGTATTTAATGTCATAAGTTACTTTTACAGAGAAATCTGTTGAAGGGGGTATTTAAATAGTAATTTGTCCTAGAAAATCTAGCTAAAGTTTCTTTCAAGCACATCAAGTGCTACTAAATGTACATGAAGGTGTTGGATTTTAATGTCTGCTGATGATGGCATTCGCTCAGTCGCTGCACTCCTGAACCTTTGCACAGCATTTGAAACTATTGATCACAGCATCCTGTTAGACAGACTGGAGCTCTGGGTGGGGATTTCTGGTACTGCTTTAATTAATTAATATCATACTTGTTCAATAAGAGGTTCTTTGTCTTCATGAACAACTGTGTGTCTTTATTTTGTTCTGTAAAGTGTGGTGTGCCTCAGGGGTCTGTGTTGGGACCTAAATTATTTTCTTTATATGTACTTCCCCTTGGATATATTATTCAGAAACAAACACTTGAAACATGGAAACATGTAAAAGTACATATAAAAATATTTTTATTATTATTGCCATTATTATTATTCATATTTATCTAAGAAAACTGCTTTCATTTGCACATTTAAAGGGGTCTTGGTTTTTTTGGTAGCACTATGGCACTGTTTATTTATGAGCAGGTCCATTTTTGGTTTGTCTCATGCCCGCGCACGAGGAAGCACATACACATACACACACGTACTTGTGGAATGCGATACACATTCCTGCCACTGGTTTTTCAAATGTGTGCAACTGATGTCTTTGCTCTGTGATTTTTAAGGTGGAGCTGGAGAGGAAGCTGGAGTCTACCACCAAGTCCAAGTTGCACTACAAGCAGCAGTGGGGGCGCGCCTTAAAGGAGCTGGCCAGGTTCAAACAGGTACTGTTTGTCTAGAGTGAGGGGTGTTTACAGATTCAGAGAGGTAACTTCTAAAATACCTAAAGGTTTGTTTTTACACCTTTTAAAATATCTGGGGGTTTAGCATGTTTTAGCCAATCAAACATGAATTGCCCATTCTTAACCCAAATTGACCCTTCAATAAGCCACATTACTGTTAGTGTTGCTTAGTCTGACAAACTGTCGGAACTTTTCAGATTTATCGCTGCCACTGTCTATAAATGCACTCCGTGAAGAAATTTTGGAAAAATTTAAAAAATGATCTCAAAATAGAAGCAGACAGAAAGGTTTGCATTATACATTTGAAATACAGACTGTCAAACTGACGTGAAACAAACAAAGACAGAAGCTAAAGCCTACAGATCACAAAGTGAACCACTGCACCGCCTGACGATTGAGGCAAAGGCCACCATAATATTAAGGATTAACACTGTTCCTGCACAGCTGGGAAGGTCTCTGTTCACTATTACAATCAGTAAAAAGCAAAAACAGAAGGGTTTATATTACGTTACATTCAGTAGGAAGTTAGCCAGCCTTAGTTTACTAACGTTACATTAGGAACAACCCACAGCTGACATTTTTCTGGATTTGTTTTTAGGTTTTGGAAAGTGAATAAATCGTACTTCTTCTATGAACCTCTCTGGGTAGCGACTGTAACTATTACAAGTGCCACAGGAACAGCGTTTGACCATATCAACACAAAACAAGCTAGCAAACGGCTCCTTCTGCATACAAGTCAATGGAAAGCCAAGCGCAAAGTGTCGGACCTCAGTTAGAGCGAGACCTAGACTGCGCTGTGATTGGCCAGCTGCGTATTCAGGGCGTGGCTTAGTGTAGGGTCAATTAATAGATCAAAAAATCGATCAAATTGCTGATTATTTTCCTGAATAATCAATTTATTGTGTGGGCTATAAAAATAGTGAAAGAAAATGGCCGTTACCATCTTTGACTTCTTGTCAGAGCAACAGTCCAAAGATACTGTCGCTTTTAATTATAGAAAACAAAGACCGAGCAAATCATCCTTTGTAAGAAGATGGAACCAGTGAATTTTGTCTGATTATCAAAATAGTTGATGAATAATCATCTTATCATTTTAGCTGTACACAGAGCCATGTTAAAATAGATACAATTAAATGTTAGTGTTCACTGTCATGGGTTGTGAGCGTATTGAAATTAACTGAAACTAGGGACTGCATTATGATAGAAAATCAAAAACAAAAGAAAAAAGCACAATTTTGAGACAAACTTTACCCCCAGAAGAAAGACATGCTGCAAAACCAAGCTCAGGCCTCTGTGTCCTGACAGCGGTCATATTTCACCGCAGATAATAGTAGTTTTTCCTGTGTTGCGACGTCTGGCGGGTTCAGACGCTGCAGGTTTTTAATCTGCTGCTGGAGACGAGCTGACAGTGTTAGGACATTTAACCGCTCTGTTTAAAGACACAGAGAGAGCAGAGGAAACTGAGCTCAGCCCTGCCAGCTGATGTCACTCTGTGGCTGTGGAAGTGTCTACAAATACAAGAGTACACAAGTACAGTATGTATGTGATCGATGTGTGTGAAGGTAAGAGAGGCTGTGCAAACTTTGGCTCAAATTTAAAGTTCCTTCAGTTAAGGAAAAATGTCACTGCCAGCATTAGTATAAAAATACTCGCATACAAGTACAATGTTCTGAAGTGCAGAAATGTCTCAGCAACATGTCCTAAATTATCAGCACTAGAAGAGCTCAAACTGTTTTAACATTGAGACATTAATGTTGCAGTTAATGTTAAAGTTGGTCCAGGTAGTGCAGAGTTTAATTACTTTATATACTAATCTGTAGCCACGCAGCATACTTTATGAGTGTATATATTTGGGATTAACTTTTTCATTAGTAAAATAGACTGTTATATTAGAGAGTTAAAACTGTGTTATGATTTCACATAGATACAAAACATTTTTAATGAGAATCGCTTCAATTTGGTTTGTTGATGTATTAAATAATTGTGACAAAGATCAATGCTGAGAAAGAAATTTTACATGTTACAGCAAATAAACTTAGCGGATAGACGGCTGTAAATGACCTCAAACTAGGGCTGAACGATTTTGGAAAATAATCTAAATTCTTTTTTTTTTTTTTTTTGCGATACATTTTTAAGCTCCCTTCTGTATTATTCAAAACGGACAAGTAGTAACTCGGTGTATAGGATGACCAACACAATATTAGATAGATAGAACATACACTGTTCTTTCTTGATGAATGATGAAATTAGGTGATGCATTAATTATTATTATGAGCAATAGTGGAGAAGAAGTATCAAATAATAATAATATGAGAAAGATAATTTGAGTCAAGTCATGGCATTAAATAATATAATAATATTCATCAGGTCGGCCTACCTGCAGACCACAAGAAAACTAAACGTACCACAGTGGGGTTTTTTTATAGGCTACAGTAAGCGCTCAATACAAAACCCACAGTTCAACAAACCAATTAATGCATCCATATCTCAGTTCAAATCTCCTAGGGCTCCATGGCTGTGTCCGAAATCACCCACTACTCACTCTATAGTGGACTACATAGTTAGCTCACCATTTCATAGGGCGGTCCAAATGTATAGTGAATTATTATACCCTATATAGTCCTCTCAATGTATCCCAGAATGCATTTTGAAAAGTAGTGTACAACCGATGGTCACTAACCAAGCTCTACATACCATCATGCACTGACAGAAAAAAACAGTCCACCAACTGATTGTTCAACGGCAATGACGTAATTAATGGTGCCGAAATAATGATCAGAGTAGTGTCCGAAAGTGTTGAGTAGTGAATGAGTGTGGATTTCAGACACAGCCAAATCTTTCTGTATCCCAGTAAGCAAACAAAAAAAATACTCAGTTTGAGGTTGAATTCAAAAGTTGGCCAACGAAAATAAAACCAAGTGTCGCCTCTCGTGTTTAATAGATAAGCTTAGTAATTCTCTGACAACACCGGAGTTCCCCCGCAGCCTGCGATGCTGGTGAGCGGTGCACTGGCTGTAACCAGGCTGTAACTGGGGACAGACTGGGCCTCTTTCGGACTTGTGCGCCGTTTCACAGATATTTCCTGAGCTGACTGGTGGCTGAGTGTGTGTGACACAGGCGGCGATCTCTACAGTACGCTTACCTTACTACACGTGTCTTTCTGTTGTGCATTTTTACTGTCCATCAAGGCGACGAATGGCCCGACAATTTCACCGGAGAAAAAACTGCAACATAAAAAGATTTTCATTTATTTTATGATTATTTCAAAATATTGGTCCAGACTGTCTCAACAACTGTTAGATGGAATTAAAACAAAATGTGGTAGACGCTGTGTTCACGGTGCTCAAATCGAATCCTAATGAATGACTTTTCCTCTAGTGCCACCATAAAGCTGTACGCTGATATCAGTAGGAGCAATGAAGAGGCCTTTTTTTCTTTAGATCGAATATATTTCATCTCGTTACTCATCCATCCGTGTGTTCACTGCTCATAACAAAAGGTTTCAGGGTTCAGCTTGAAAACCCTGCTGAACACTGTGAGGTTTGGAGTTGACGATCTGAATGTGGAGTGTGTATGAGAGGAACAGAACGTGTGTGTGTGTGTCAGAGAAGGAAAAAAGGGGAGAGAGAGAGAGAGGGGTGTGTTTTTACACCAAAGCCAAATATTTAGTTGAGGTGAAGTAGACAATGAAATGTGTGAGAGCCATCACTTCTTACCAACACACACACACACACACACACACACACACACACACACAGCACTAAGTGGGGCTTTACTCCGCCTAAGACTAATGTAAACACACACAGACCTTATCTGACAAACTAATAACTGTTACTGACATTAACCAGCTGGAAAACTGGACAGACATTTTTCCTCTCTTTTCTTTTTGCATCACTCTCCTCCCCCTCTTCTCCTTTTCTCCCTTCCATTCCTCCCCCTTGAGTCACTCCTCTATCTCCCTTTTTTCCCTTCTCTCTCTCTTCTGGTTGGACATTTCCTTCTTTCCCCCATCCTTCTCTTCTTGCTTCACTCTCAACCACTTCATCATTCCTCTTTATTTCCTGCTTTGCCTACTTTTCATCCTCTCCAAGTCTTTTTAGCTTTGTCTAACATTTGGTTTCTCTTTATTCACCTTTTTGGTCCACTTTTTTACCTCCTCTTTCCCTTCTCTCTTATAGTTTTTATAGACCAATTTTCTGTCTTTAAGCAATCCTTCCTTTACCCTTCCTCTCCTTTTGTCCCCCTCGCACTTCATTTCTTACAGTTCATAATTCCCTCATCCTTCCTCCTCTTTGTCGTTCAGTCCGTCATTGGCATTCCTTTCTTTTCTTTTTGCTCTCTCTCTCCGTCTCACCCCTCCCATCCCTCCTTCCTCCCCTCTCTAAGTGCCACATCATGCTAAAGAAAACATGGTGTGATTTATGCAGCTCTAAGGGGGTTCGGCGCTGAGTGTCACCCCCTGCCTATTAATCATCCCTGGGATTGTGTTGAGCAATAAGCTAGCCAGGCGCTAACTATTCAGATGTCACACTCTCACTTTTTATAAAATATCAGGCCTGTGTTTACACGACCATCCGTCTTAGCGCTCGGTGGTTTTTAAAGCCGGCGCTTGTTTGGTTTTTCTCGGCCTCTCCTCGCCTATTTATTCTCTGCGCTCAGCGCCTTGCATGGCGTGCTGTTTAGCTCAAGTCAGATCATAAAAATTCTTGTCCGAGGAATAATGTGCTTTTCAACCCAGGAGGTGCGGGCGGCCGGAGAGGCAGAGCGAGAATTAATGTCCAGACAGCACTGAGGTATTAGATCAGAGAGTTAGCCTCGGTCTTTCTAAATTCAAAATATTGGGACAAGGAGCTTAAGTTGGTCTTTTCAAAGCAAAAATATTGGGAAAAAGAGATTAAAGCTCAGAGCAGAGGAGCTAAATTTGGTGTTTTTAAACCCAAGTGGAAGGTCAGGAAACTAAATTTGGCTTGTTAAAAGCTGGC